TAGAACCACTAGTTTCTTCTGAAATTTGTTCGATTTAGGACTGGGGTGTATTTCTATCCACCAGTATCACACTTACACTGTTTTGTGTCGACGGTTTCTTATAAACTGCCAAAGACTATCATATTTACTTAGCGTATGAAAAGGATTAGAAAGTTTTAAAACATGATAATTTGTTACTACATTCCAAAGTCAAATTATTACTTGGTGCTACAACATTGTATACAAAGGTATAATAAACACTAAAATAAATCCACATGACTGTTGCAATCATTTTCAAAGTATATTTAAAGTCGAGGTGATTTAAAGGTGAAAAAATGGCAAACAAGTTTTTTTTATTTTCTTAACAGCCAAGCAGTTGAAAAACTATGAAAAAATTTATAACAATTTGTATTTTGAGATAAACTTTTGAGATTTTTTGCGAGCCTGCTCCAGAGTTCAAAGACACAGTAAAATTATTTCTTGTTATTTTTTTCAAACATTTGTTTGCGTTTGAATTTGGCATTGAGAAAACATCAGAACATGTTTTCTGATTCTATAAATTATTTTCTTATTTTTAATTTTTTTCAATAAGATAAAATTGTGTTAAGTTTACGGGAAAAAATAAAATACAAAATAATTTTTTGGCTTTCAGCTGCTTTTCATGTAAAAAATCTCCAAATGATAGCAAAACGGAGGTTATTGAAAGCAATCTCTCACATCGAGATTGAGTATAAAAATGAAATACAGCAATTCCAAGAAGGGTAATGTTTGGCACACATTATATTTGTGACCATTTTCGCTCTCATTATGAAAGCTGATTAAGATAAAACCCAATGAGAAAACCCCTTTACGATATTTTAGCGGTCAATCATTTGACATTAATTTTGAGACTTGTTAAAAAGAAACGGAATGGCTGGAAGCTTTTTTAATAGATGTTTGAATAAATTAGTTGTTCGTTGATTTGAAATTAGAAAATATTAAATTACTGTTGTCGAAAGTAGAGCAGCAGGGTAATTTTGTTTAGAATAAGTATTTTTTAGCTTTGGATGCGAGATCGTCTTAATCAATTAGTATCATGATAATTAAAAAAAATAATATTCATTACTGTCATCATTCAAACCAATCAAAGTAATTCATTTATTACAATTTGTAGTGTAGCAGCGACCTGCTAAATTGTTTGCATTATAAGTCGGGCAAAGAACATTACAGTATCAGTCCCTACCAAATCAATTTGATAATACTTATACCCCAATCAAATAAGTATAGAGCGGGAATGTTTTAGGATCATATTTCACAAATGTAATATCCATTCGTCAACAAACATTCGAAATAATAAATAAGGATATTCTGAACCGTATATTAATAGTACCATCATTCTCGCAAATACTCCTTTTAAGCTTACCGCGCGCTGAGTTCGAAATTTGCGACTTTCTATCTGTCGATCTCCACTTCTAGACTGGGTCTCATTCCACCGTCCCAGCGGCCGGGTTTACACTCGGCAATTTGCTCGCAGCGGCGGTTTTACCCCCCCCAGGGCAGGTTTTTCAGAGTAAGCAACCTTGCGCATGGTCTCATTTAGAGCAAACTTTTAACATTTATCCGCGGTATCCTTTGCGTAAAAACATCTCGGAGTCTCATAATAAAATACGTAATTCAAACTTTACACAGTCGATTCATTGGTAAGAAACAAAGCACTTGAGCAAGAGGCTTTTAAGTATGCCAGTTAAACCTTGTTAAAGTTTTGGGGGCTCCTTGGCCCGTGGGCCAAGACGGGTGGTAGTTACGCCACGCCGCGTAGGCGCGCAAGTGAAAAGCACTTCATTAAGTATTATGGCACTCACGAGCGTTTTGATTGCGGTGAAGAAAAAGAAATCATAATCAAACGATTCCTAAGGGTTTTCCTTCCCTTAGCCCTTTAAGTCCGTAATAGACCCTCGTTCCTTTACCCTTCAGCTCCATAAAGTTCAGAGACGAAGAAAGGTAGGAACTATATTCTTGCTGATCATTATCTTGCTATAGTCTAGCGTCTTCTTTCCAATAAGTTCTGGCCAGACGATCTCCATTCAGGGGGCATCCTCAGTATTAATAGTTATAAGAGGTGCCCATTTCCTCCATGATCAGAATGCTTAAAAAAATAACGGAATAAAATCAAAACGAAAAATACTTTTTTTTGTTCCAGAGTTTGATTTTGTTTTGTCCAACATTGTGTCATCAGTGATGGTACTATGTTTAGTAATAAACAAAATCACTAGTCATGGAACGACAGTTTCATTTATATTAATTAAAATGTTCTGTTTACAGACTACTCGTGGATTATGGTGCAGAAAGGGTGAGAGGAAGTCAGCTTAGAAGAAATTGACAATTAGAGATTGTTAATAAAAAACATTGTGATACTTCTAATAGGCACAGAGTTTGTAAATAACAACATTCCTAATGACAAAATTTTAAACGTAATACAATTAAACAATATTAGTTACGATACGTTTTATTGTTAAAACATGGTAGGTTGACTTTTCTGGATACCAAATTGTAATAATATTTGATCTTGAGTACACACACACAGACCACATCACACACACAACACATCATATACTATATATATGTATATATATATATATATAATTATATATATATAATATAATATAATATATATATATATGATATGTATATTGTGTGGTGTGCTGGAGAGAGAGAGAAAGAGAAACAATATACAATAATGTACAATAATTAGGGGAAATATTAAATTATTATTTTGAAGAGTGTTGTTTGTTGTCAATTAATCACAAAAATAAAAGTAAACGGTGTCTGAAACAGGCAAGAAAGAGAAAAATGAATAGTTTATGTTATACGAATATATTATATGTTGTAATGTAATAAATATTATATTGAATAAAATTTATGATACTAACTGTTGTCATTTTATAATTATTTGGGGAAAAATGTTTGTGAAAGGTTCAGAAAGGAAAAGTTTGAGTTCATTGGCCCTATATACCTAAAAAAAGTAAAATTGTTTTCAAATATTTTCTTCTCTGCGATGACAAATTTTCAAGGTGCTGAAATCTGCTTTACTCGTACAACGTCAAGGAACCCAATTCTTCAAATTATTCTGGAAGCTCTATACAAGGAAACAAATGCGAGCTTTGATATTCGGGATGTCCGGAAGATGCCATCACAAAAATACCTCAGATTCAAAGTAGAATTTCATGAAGCATGAATGGCAGAACCAGTTTTTCCGAAAAAAGACTTTCTCGTCAAAAAGTGTTTCCCAGAAAACGGGGTTTAAATAGTCGGTCACGCAATTCAGGTCGAACGCCGTGCCACAGCACACATTGCAATATCTGCAACGGCGACGGGCGTTGCTTAGTTTCGCCGTGTTATCGGCTGAACCGTTCATTAACTGACTGAGGAGTCTAATTAAATCATTCGGTCTATTAAATGGACTGATTTTTTTGTTCAAAATGATAACAATGGCATGCAGCGACCCAACAATTGGTCGGAATGAACAAAACAAAGGATCGCGTGAATTATTATTTTTAGTAAATCTTCACTGTGAGCTAGTTTTTTGCTTGAGACAGTCACAAAAATAACAGTATCGGTTGACTTTTGTTTATATCCTGACCTAATATCACGATCAAAATTTAAAAAAAAGTATCTTTGGCTGAAAATTATTTTTCTTGCATAAGAAAGTTGTGCTTTCTGTGTGTCAATTTGTTTTTCTGTATAGCATGAGCGCCAATCTTTGGGAAACGTTCAGCGCGACCGTGCTTCGGGAAGAGGGGCTCCAGACCAGGTGACCAAAAATCGCATGGGCCGTGCATGCAGGATTTGACTGATTGATTAGTGATTCAGTGAAACTGCTGAGGTCATTAGTCCCGTAAGTGTAGTGCATGTCTTTTTCTCTGGTGGTGACAATCTTTTTTCCGCTGGGTGGTGAGGTTTGGCGCCGACCTACTGTCGGCTAGCAGGGTTTTCGCAACCAGATATCACCCGCCTACGAGGCACCGCCCCAGCTGGGACAAGCTCTAAGCTCCCTAATCGAACTCCCGGCATGTGTGGTAGTGTGGTGCATATAACTGTGTGTAAAAGGGGGTGAGGATAGGACGAGGAAGTGGAAGGAAAGAAAGTGGCCCGTTTGTTAGGGTACTGCTCCGGCATTCGTTTGGCATTGATAAAAGAAACCACGGAAAACTACGGATCAAAGCAGCCGGCCTCTAGAATCCTCCTCCAAGCAGCGGCTGAACTCAACCCAGCTGTCTAGCTAGTATCGAAAATCCTTCCATTTTCGGGATTCGAACCTAGGACCTCTCGGTCAGAGGCACTGCAATGACATCAGTTGAGTCACGTCTTCTGACCAGTGAGTGCAGGCGTGGGCATGCGTGCCTGCTCTTAAAATTCATTTTATGCTGTGTCGCGAGTAGAGCTTCTTGCCACATTTCAGTCTTTGAGATTTTCTTGCTGATTACGCACACTTCTGACAAAGATCATTGTGTTTCGTTTATGCCACATAAAAATCATGGTTGTGACCAAAAACCAGAAGTTCGCCGATGAGAGTTCTTGTGATACTTAGCGAGCTCAAGAGACGTGCGGTAAATTCAAAAATCGATAATTGTTTAGTTAAAAAACAGCAAACGACATTTGGAAGTGGAAAGAGGGACAACAAGAGAGAGAAGGAGATGAGAAGGATCCTGCTTTCAAAACTTGGAATCAAACCCTGAGAAGAAAGGTAGGATCGGGGTCAAACTACCCCCCCCACACACACACACACAAATTTCTGCAAGTAGTCGCCTGTCTCTCTCTCTCTCTCTCTCTCTCTCTCTCTCTCTCTCTCTCNCTCTCTCTCTCTCAATCATGCGATAATGGCGCACAAAAAATGCTTTACCGAAAGAAAACGTTAGGAAAGTGATGAAGAAAGCCTGAATCGTAAGTAGGAAATTCCTTATCGCCTCCAAGGGATGTGGCTTCTATCACTCGACCAGGAAAGCCACAACCGTATCGCGGACGCCTATTCTTTCGCTTCCTCACTGCTCCACATCTGAAAATTATAGTTACGGTTCATCCTCATGTCCGCACTCAGCAGTTCTTGATCCTTCGTGTGGCGTGCGCAAACGACCATGCCGAGCGGACAGTACACTATAGATGACTCAAGCAGAGGTCGCGGAGATACATCGTTTCGTGCGTGTGTGATAGCGCTGCTCATTTTTCTTCTGTTTTGTGTGACCATCATTATTGTTTTATTGGTGGTGAAGAAAGACACCGGTTCAGGAACTACTGCCAAAAGTGAGGATGGATCAGCATCAAAGCACACCGGGGATGAGGTAAGGCGACAGAAAAATACTGGTTATTTTTACGAACTGTTTTGACCTTTCTTTTTCATGAACAGGGAAATTTTAAAAAAAAACACCGTAAATATAGTATTATGGATAACGCGACCACATAAATAGAGAAAATATTTAGGCAATCTAGTATTGAAGGGTATTAGAAGTATTAACGATATAGCAAACGTCCACATTCAACCTCCAATCAGAACTTTTCGAGACTTGCGGTTGATATCAAAAAGGGCCACAGAATTCAACATCAGACATTTCCGAAAAAGCGTTTGATACGATATTTGTTTTCGAAAGTTTCAAAGAAATGTTACTAAGTAAATGTAACTATTTTAATGTAACAGAAACTTCTCAAAACACTCCAAACAAAAGAAACTCTTTCACGCAGCCTCTAATTCAATACAAGTGTGTTCAAAGTGACATGTTGCTCTGTTCCGAATCAAATATATGGTTGTTCCATGAACTTGGCCTTTTTCACGATTTTCTGTTAATCGGTCGCAATTAATTTTGTGTTGTAGGAGATGCTTTGGATAAGCTTTCAGTTTTTAAACTAATATAACTATATTTAATCTATATTTCACTTCCCGAAAGTTTTTCAACGCAACGTTATAAAGTTTTAATGAAATTTCGTTAGTAAAAAATACACGAATTAGAATAAAATTGCTGGAGGTAGTACTCGGAAGTATTGAGGTGGGCGCGTCCCCCTCTCACCACTGACGCCTGTAACGTTTACGGAGTAATATGCGTAGTATGGGGAGTTATGTAATGCTGTAGAAAATATATTTTGAGATTTCAATGGAAATACACGTTTTGCGGTCCCCTGATACCGAAAAAGTGTTTTTTTTTTTTCAAAAACGTCCATCCCTACGTCTGTCTGTCCGTCCGTCTGTCCGTCCGTCTGTCTGGTGGACGTGAAGAACACTAGCGCCAAAAACATGCCGAGGCATTTTTTCCAAATTGAAGAAAACCCTGTCCATTTAGCCTGAGTCGAAGGTCTTCGATTTTGAAAATCATCCATTAAAATTTTGAGGATACTTTATATGTAGTCTTTGGAGCATTTTCAAAATTTTCACAAAAACGGAACAAAATTTTTTCTTTAAATTCCTTGTAAGAATAGAGTTAAATAAATGTGGCATAGGTCCGATTTTCGCGGTTAGCTCCGAATTTTCGAAAATTTTAAAAGTTTGAATTTTTTTCGTGGTTTTCGTACAACTACAAAATTCAAGATAGAGATTTTTCCTTCATATAAAATTTGTTGCCCGTAACATGTTCTTTCATTGATGTCAGGTATATTATTTGAAAATTGCAGTTGCTTTCGCGCAATACTGCGTGCAATTTATGCAAATTTAAAAAAATACAAAAACAAAATTTTCTCAAAAATGGCTGCAAATATTTTCTTTAAACTTTTGGTAGGGATTGTGCTAAATGCACTCTAAGAGATGACATAAACGCCACATTTCTCTATTCCAAACATTTTTGTTTCTTCATAAATTCCAAAATGTAATGTTTTTGACTTGTCTATCATGTTGTTAATATTTACATTAGCGACAATTTCTTCTCATAATTATATTTACGAGTACATGTGCTTTAAATAATGTCATATAAAGCTTTTTAAAAATTCAACAGTTTTCTGTTAAAACTAGCTCAAAATTCTACATTTTCAGAAACGCTCAAACGCCATTTTCTAAAAAACTACCCCAAAATTTTTCTTTAAACATTTCGAAGGGATAGTGTTAATTGCACTCTTTAATATGACGCAAAGTTCATTTCGTTCATTATTTTTCTGTTTTTCAAACATTATACAAATATACATTTTTTTTAAAGATCTCTCACGCCATTGGTATGCTCATTTCCAGCAATTTTAAACCCTATTGTATTTTTAAGTTAAAGTACTTCAAATGAAGTTTTTTGAAAACTCAAAATTTTCTGTGAAAAAGCACCAAATATCGGATTTACAGTAGCGCTTAACCGCGTTTTTCTAAAAAAAAAAAAAAAAAAAAAAAAAAAAAAAAAAAAAACTGCTCCAAATTTTTCAAAGAAAATTGTCATTATGACGAGGTTTTACTGTTCTTTAATTATATTAAAATAATATTTCCGGTCTACATTTAGGGAACCTAAAAATTAAGAAAATGTCAAAAAAATGTATTATGGCCGGCGATAGATGACAGCTGGCAAGAAGAGTGTGTGGCAAGTCCGAGTAGCTAGCCGAGACCAAAGGAAATAGAAAACTAATACGGGATTGTCTGTGCCATTCTGTAGCACCACTAGTTCAATCATGCAAAAAGTATTTTTTTAAATAGGAAGTTAGCACTCCAAACTTATGGAAAGATATCTCAACAACCGTTTGTATTAATTTGAGTGCAAGCAAACTTTCTTCCATGGCTCTATTAGTTATCAGGATATAACTGTTTAATCAGTGAATTAAATATTTACTCTTTGCCAAGTGAAATGTTTAAATGAAATTGAAACTATTTCAGATTAGGTTTTCATAATCTACTTAAAAAATAACGAATATTATACAAAAATACTAGATTCCTTTTAAATTCACGGTCCATTGAAAATAATCCTTAAGACAAATACGAAGCTCCAAAGACGAGAAGGGAAAGAATGTGCAAGTGTCTAACCATTTTAAAGAGATGCTTTGAATGAAATTCCAAATATTTTTATCAATAAGAATGAAATAATCCTTTTTTTCGAAATTGAGAAACAGTTGTGTGCGCTATTTATTTAATGACAGGAGCTCAATGCTCGAGCAAGAGAAAATCTTACTGGGGTCATGTAAATGCTGAACCGAACACGTTCGCTCGTAAATTCGGAGCGGTTAAATGGTAGAGAAGCAAAACGTGGGGGGGGGGGCGTCAAGTGATTACATCTAAGGGGCCACGGCGTGGTGGCGGTTGTGGTGCCCCGAGAGCGAAACGCAGGGGGGGGCGCGCTGGGTTCCTTACGACGAATATTATCTTGACGTCTTGTTAATTCTCCAAATTAATACAATTGGCGATAGTTAAACAGGAATTTGGCTCGAGTGGACAGAAAGCGACTTTATCCTCCAAGCAGGGAGGGCAAGTAAGCAAAAATTATCAAACGCCCAAGAAAAAAAGTTTTGAAAGAAGCGAGTTGAGGCCAAAAGTCAAATGTCTTCGATTGCTACACAGCCATTGTAATATTTTGCAGCTTAAATTAAAAGGTAAAGGCTTTATATCTTTTAATTTTAAATCCCAATGGTTTACAATTCAAAAAAGAAATAATCCTTACTACTTAATGGCGCCCGACTTTCTCGAACTAATTAGTTCTCTAATTTCTTTGCTCTAGGCTAGCTTTTCGGACTTTCAACATATTCTTGCCAATCTTCCGCCGCCAAAACTACATTTTTAAAAAAAAATTTCACAATTTTTCTGTTATTAATAGCAGAACAGAAATATTCCTAAATATATTTAATAACAGGAAAAACTCGTCCTACAAGGAAATTAACGTTGAAAAATTTGCCGCATTTAAAAAAAAATTGTATTTTCAGCATTACAGTCAATGTGAAATTTGAAGCTCTATTTCGCAGAAAACTGTTGAGTTCTTGAAAAACCATATTGGAAGTTATTTAAAGCACTTCCACTCACAAATGCAGAAATTATTACAAATTGCTGAAATTGTGTATATTAACGATGTGAAATATATTTCTAACAAATAACATTTGTGTAATTTTTGAAAAAGCAAAAGAAAACTGCAAAATTATTTTTGTGATCTTAAACAGTTCACATCGTAAACATTTCGCACAATCTGTATAAAACGTTTGAAGAACAAATTTGCAGCCGTTATCAGAAAATGGCGTTTGAGTGTTTCTGAAAATACAGAAGAAAACTATTGAGTTTTTGAGAAACTTTTCATGACATTATTTAAAGCATATGTACTCATAAATTCAATAATGTGAGCAAATCTCTTCTAGTGTAAATATTAACTTCGTGAAAGATAAAAAATTCTTTGTATAATGTTATCTTATGTATCATGTAATCTTATAGAGTACATTTACCACTATATATACCAAAAGTTTAAAGAAAAAAATTGGAGCGATTTTGCAGAAATTTTATTTTTATTATTTTTGCACATATTTCGCTATATTGCACATATTTTCCGCAATAGAGCGCGAAAACTACCAAATTTTTGAAAAAATGTGTGTGACCTTAATGAGATAACTAACTAGGAAGAAAAATAATTACTTGAAAGAAAAATCTTTATCTTCAATTTTGTAGTTGTAGGAAGACGCCAAAAATTTCAATATTTTGCAGCTCCAATATTTTGTAATTTTCAAAAATTGAGAGTTAAAAGTGAAAACCGGAACAAAACCACCTTCCTAAGTGCATATCACTATTCGTACAAGAAATTTAAAGAAAAACTTTGGAGCCAGTTTTGAAAAAATGTTGAAAATGTCTCAGGTATTTCATGTAAAGTAGGTTCCCTTAAACATTAATGAGTGTTTTTCAAAATCACAGAGCTTCGAGTAAGGCCATGTCGACAGCGGTTTATTCTGTTTGGAAAAAATCGTCGGAATAGTTAAGGCGCTAGTGATGTTCCCATACACCAGACGGACTGACAGACAGAAGTTTTGAAAAGAAAAAAAAACTTTTTTCGGTATCAGGGGACCCCGAAACTTGTAGTTACGTTGAAATCTCGAAATCTATTATCTGTAGAATTACATAACTTTCTCCATACTAAGTAATATTTCTCCGTATACACGTACGTATACAAGAAAGCAAAATTTATAAATCGACAAATAAAAAAATGTTTAGGGCTATGACTTCGCAACGAATTGTACCTCTAGCACTACCCTAATGCAACTACCAAACACATTTTATGAATTTATTAAACATTTTTAAACGGAGAAATTCAAACAAATTGAAACAAATAATGTAATATTTACAGAGACTTTAAATAATTTAATATTTTCTATTTAATCTATGAAACGTGTCAGTTGTGGTCAATACTTCTAATATAAGTGCATGATATATTTTCCATTTATTTCAAATTCAAATCTTTCGCTACAATTAGCGTCGTTATCCTTGTCAACGTGTTGGTGAGGATTTGAATGATCTGCGAAGCTTTTTGGTAGACCTACGATGTCATTTCCGCGATCATTATAAACTTGATTTAGGCCCTACTTCTTAAGTTTATTTACAGCTTTGATGGTTTAGGTGGCTCAGGGCATCTTCCATTGACGTCACTGTAGTGTTTCGGGAGGTCCTAGCGTTCGAGTCCCGTCGGTGGCAGGATTTTCCTCTCCCGCTAGTAGGGTCGAATTCAGTCCTTGCCCGGAGGAACATTTTAGTTGCTGACTGCTCTAACCGGTAGCTTACCTTGGTTTATCGTATGAACACCAGGTGAATATCGAAGAAGTGCCCTAACAACCGGGCCACGGACTGCATGCGATCTTTCCTTCCTCTTCCTTATCCTACCCTACCTCTTGCGTACAAACACACTTACATGCACTACTCTAGCACACATGCCGGGCACTTAGAACTTGTCCCGGCTGAGGCGGTGCTCCGCTGGTGGGAGATACCTGGTCGTGAGAACCCCGCAAGCCGTCGCTGGTCGGCGACGAATCTCGCCAGCCAACTGGGGATGATCGTCACCTCACACGATCAAAACGTGCACTACACTTACGGAACTAGTGACCTTAGCAGTGGTCGCACTCGGTCAATATATCTTCAGCTTTTTCTCAACTTCTTATTTTAAGCACACTTATTGACGATCTTGAACGAAGAATATCAGCCATTCCATTTTTTACGGACGTTACATTTTGACATTTTTTATTCTTATATCTTTCAAGGAGAATTTAGTGTATTTTTTAAAACAAAATGTATTAGAATAATAAATAAATCATTTCAGAATATTATCTATTATTCTCTTTCATTAATTTCAAAGATATCAAAAGAATAGAAGTGTTACGGACGTCACAAAATTTGGGAAGTCTCAAAAGGACTGTTGAGTTATTTAAGCAAAATTACGGTCCCCTACTCCATCACATTAAATAAAAATTTATGACTTTTTCGGTATATTTACATTATTTAGCAGATAATAATGAAATTGATTTTTTAAAAATATTTATGTTGTTACGAACATTACATCCTAATTTGTTACGGATGTTACACATGATAACTTAAAGAACAAATTACATAAATTTCTCTTAATAACATTAAATTATATTAATTTTACATACGTACTGTGATTTTATTTTGTTTTTAGGGGGGAAATTGTATTTTCTTTCGTTCTGAGTAATTAATAAATCATGCCAAACATTTTTCTCATCAAATCTCTCAAAATTATCGATCTACTACTGTCAATAATGGATAGTAAATAATTAACATTATTAATTATTAAATATAATTGATACAGATGAAAGACTATGAAACAGACTATGAAATCATTATGCAATATAACCAAAAACATACGAATCTTATCAAAATAACTCTAAATTCCATAGCTTCAAAAATTGAAGGAAAATGTATGTAACATCCGTAACACTTTAATATTTAAAAACTCGTATTCAAAACAAATATTAAATCTTATTTATAGAAGTCTTGTCATCAGAATGTAAACTTAAAGAACATTATAAAGCAAGCGCACTTTAACATTACGTAAGAAAAACCTTTTCAAGGATGTTTGTTACGGACGTTACACTGAATGTCAGAACTTTAAAAATTCAATGATATAAATATTAGTTACTTAACATTTTTTTAAATTAATGCATAAAAAGGACGTATACCTCATAAAGTTAAGCTTATTTACAAATTTAATGTTTTACGCATTTTCCTCTTTTTTTATGGATTAGGTGATATATGTTTTCCATTAAACATAGGTGGAAATTTAATTATATTTAACGTGTCTTTCGTGAAAACTATACATTCTTCCTTTTTTTATGAACTTACTGGATTGGTTATAAATCTAGGTTCTCGCGTCCGTTATTTGCAGTTTATCGGTCTGATAACGTTGATAACTATAACTAGAGGTTACGCAATCTCGTCTTGTTTTTCAGCCTGGGAAAGAAGACAGAAGAGACTCGGAGGGCGCAAGCGAGGGAACCACCCACGCTGGGCCTTCCTCGACGCCACCGCCGCTCGCTCCGGCAGGTAAGGCGACTGAAGAGACGACAACTAAGAAGACAGCAAGTAGAGATTCCTCTGAAGATCGAAGCTCATCAGAGACCAAACATGTCAAAGCATCTACAGAATATCCTTCATCTACAGAACATAGCGCTTCAATAGAGCCGCGTAGAGGATTAGTGGGTGTAGATGACACCACCGACTACACCGGTACCTCTACAGAATTCTCTATGGCCGTATTAACAGGAAGTACTGTTTTGCCAGAGATGCCTAGATCAATAGAGAATGCAACGACTACTTCCACAGAAAGATCTTTCAGGTCGACCACAGGAGTTTCTGCGGAATCAGCGGAATCTGCGACCACAGATGTTTCAGCTTCAGAGACGCACAGTATTGACACATCTGGGAATCTCACAAGTACCTCTACAGAACCTCCTACCAGTACCTCTACTGCGTCCCTAGGTCTACGTAGATCTTTGGAGGAAAGTGCTGAACGAACAGCGTCGACTTCTACAGAACATTCTTCGAGAACTGAGGTGCCTCCTATTATCCCAACTTCACCTCCTCCTCCAGGTAATGAAAGAACTTTAGATTATATTTTACAAAAACGGGCAGAATAAAAAATGTATATAAAGTGATAATAAGATTGTAAGTCCTCTTAAGAATTTTTTGTCGAATGCCATTTTGAACAGTTTTATGGACTATTATTATTATTATTATTATTATTATTATTATTATTATTATTATTAAATAGTATGTTGAATAGTGTTCATTTGAATGTCACTGCGATTTGAGAGCTAGAAACAAGGAACATTTCATTTTTATTTCGCAGGTTCTGATATCACGAAAACTGCTTAAATGAAATCCTTTTGCTTCAGAAACTTTATTTGAAAATTTATTAAGAGGTACTAACCGTTAAATCAGGATTATTTTTATTATTCATGACTATTTTTTCTGACAAGAATATGCATACGTAACTAGTATGGCTTCTTCATGACTAACAAAGAAGTGGCACATTCGTACTGTGAACTATTGAAATGTTGCAAAGTGCATTGTGTAGAAAATATTAAGGGCTTTAGAAAATCGAAGTCAGTTATAATAAATTTGTTCATTCCTCCCTGAAAATCTCTATCTGTGATTCAATGCCCCTCAAATACTTTTTGTGCCGCTTAAGATGTTAAAATGCAGTTTTGGCCCTTCAATAAGTAGGGACACACGATAAGTATTTTATTCTAACGCTTTCGTAGCGTGCGTTCTTTAAGGAACCATGCCTTTGAGGTTTGCACACATCGCTGTAGTGCCAGCTGATACGTTGTTTTATTGAGGGTAGGTTGTTATTAGATGCCAGTCATCGGATTCCTAAAACTTCGGAGTCCACTAAGAGTAGCAGGCGGTCAGGAATCTAGGCATGGAGCATACAGTATTATTAGCATCCGACCATGAGCTAGGTAGTCAAGAAGTGTGATGTGTGACATCGAATATATTGTGTTTTTTATTGTGTGCACTGTTGCGCCACCTACTGAATGTCAAAAACAGCATTTCGACTTCTTAAGCGGTACAAAAGTTATTTGTGGTGCAAGTAGTTGCTGAATCACATCTTAAATAGTTTATCTGGCAGGGATGATTCGTTTGGTAGAAATTGATATCGAGGATATGAAACAATTCTGCATCCCTGTACAATGATCTGTCTCGTATTCTACAAATCCACAGTTCGTCCATTCCTTCCATAACTGCTTCTCTTCCGGTCGAAGGGCTGGAAAGTTGTCCATTAAGCATTTTCAAGCTTACTGACAAACCACCCACAAGATTAAATTGAAATACATTTTTCTCGCAAGAAAACTGAATCTGGCCTGGAAAGAGAGTTTGTCCGGCCTTCTCTCTGCGATCATTTAACAATTAATATCGGTACACAAATTTAAGTTATAATTATAATATTTTCTTGTGCGTATCTGTTTCTAAACAATTATATGATAATGCAATCAAAAATAAAAAAATAATATTAATTTTAATAATAGTAAATAATGCAATAATTAACATTTCTATTGTATAATTTTAAAAATCATTAATATGCCTTAAGTAACAAGTAGTGTAATTCAGCTTCCCGGTGAATGACTCCCATTTCGATCACATTTTTGTCCAATTTCTCTGATCCAATGAGCAAATGCTGATATGGCCCCCTTCCAATGCTTCTGGACATAAATGTAGCTTCACTCTGCACCCTTTTAGTTGAGATCATCTTTTGCTAAGCGTAGAAGTAGGAATTATGTCGGGGGTATGTCACTATTTTGTTAGCAATACAAAAAATTAAAATCTGCAGTTCGTTTACCGGATGCAAATAAGATTTCTGTAACTCAGGAGCAAAAATGTACATTTTTTCAAATGTTGCTAATCTCGCGATTCTTTTTTTAATTTTATGATTATTTATTTTTGCTTATTTTATTTTTAAAATTGTATTCATCTTTCTACTATGTATAGTTAAAAAGTCAGGAAGCAATTCTGAAGCTCAAGAAAACTTGCACAGATGGTACTTCTTCCCCAAACATTACATATACTTTTGACTGTTTTTTGACTAAATAAATCAAATCAAATAAAAAATCCACTGACGACTGTACCTTCATGTTTCTTTACTTCGAAAACAACGCTGTAATAAATTGCATTTAATTATGTGCAATTCTTATAAATTAAAATAAAATAATGGTTTTGTGTCTTCTTAAGGAACAATGAGTTCCTAACAAAATTGAAATTTGAAAGTAATACAAGAATTATCAAGTGCCAAAATAGTCTATGGTTAGCGACCAAGTTTACAAGCGCTCGGTGTATTATATATGAACAAATTCTACAAGTATATGAGATGTCTCAGAATAAATGTGAGAAACGGTTAGGGGTTGACGATTAACACTTTTTGTCAATCGACATATGCCTTTGGTTTTGAAAGATGAATGTTCCACAATTAAACCTACCTGTGGAAGATTATTTGCAATTTACATACAAAATAAACAAGTGAGCACTAATTAATCTTGTGCTTTGGCCCACAAGCCCACACCATTTTTAGCTAAATTTTATGTTGAAATTAAATGTTCATCTTTCAAATTTAATTTCTTTTATCCATGACATGACGCATGTGTAACACATCTTTTCGTATTTTATAACATTCTTGTATACTATTTTTCTAAAACGTTTAATAAAATTGGTTTTCTTCCTGCTGGGAATGGTCTTCCTCTGTCTTACGAAGTTACATTGGCAACAGTTCCATGTACCTCTTCGGAGTGCAAAAAGCTGGGTGCGACCATCCTGGCTACCATGGGGCTCGATGCAGATCCGTGTAAGCAGTTCTACGAATACGCTTGCGGCGGGCTCCGAGAGAACAAGTACTTGTTGGAGCCTGAGTACGACGAAGAAGCCTGGCATCGCATAAACGGTGAGGAGCCTTGGAGCTGTTCCCAACCTTTTCCTTGCAGCGATCCCTTTCAAAAGAAAGACTAGCTTCATTGACCTCCCTTGACATTTTCCCATAACATACTCCATACAAAATAATCGTAACACAAATAACTGAACATAAGCGACTAGATGACGATTACATAGACAAAGAATACAGACACGTCTTGAAAACATGTTTCTCATGCTTGATTATTTTTCGAACTATTAAAACTTTCAACTTTCAGAAATATAAACAACAATTAGTAAAATGTTCTAAACATTTACAATATATAAAAAAGTAACTTCATTTATATTTTTAATCAAAAGGATATTAATTACACAAATCATTTGTCGGTGCATAGTCGGGTAACGCCCCCAATTGATCCCTCTGTAAAATTTGATTGACCTCCAGGGGGTCGATACCTACACCGTTGGAAAACATTGGGCTAGAACATCAAAAATAACGCTGGAATCACAGTCGCAGTCTGTCGAGGAGAAATTAAGCAAAATACCGTACGGCGATTAAATTAAGACGAATAATGAATATTACAATTGTAAATAATAGATAACTACAAGGGGAAATTTTTATTTTGATTGTTAAAATTCGAATTTACCCTCTACATTGTTAGACAAAAGTTGTCAATATACATGCATTCTTGACATCCAAAATACTTCTAAATAACAAGAAACATGTATTGAAAATTCAGCAATACTCCTGTAAATTTTCTTCCCCTAGTTGAAACTGTTTAGTTCGGAATCTCAAACAACAAATAATAGCACCATAAAATGTAAGCATTTTGTTTCCTTTGTTTAAGGCATGGTTGATAAAATCAACCCATCAAGTCCCGAAAGTTACAAAAAGTTCAACACTCTCATACAAAGTTGCAAAACATATGATCCAGTGAAAGATATACACACATGGAAAGACGCAGGTAAGTTCTTAACATTATCTTATCTAGTGAATACAAAAAGGTTCCAGTAAAAATATGAGAACTTCATATCATTCTTAACTCGAAAAAAAATTGGATTGTTCACGGGTTGTGGTAGCTTTGCCATGAACGAGACTACAACGTAATATTGGCTCACATCCTCACCTTATCAAAATCTAATGCATGAGATCTTGCGTGGAACCTTTTGAATCCTGCTAATTATAAGCGCCTTCAATAAAAGAAAAACTTTTTATTTGCTTCCCCCAATATTCATCTATTGATGGACATTGACTGGCCGTACAGTGGCTGATTTCCTCATATATTTTTAAAATCTTAAACATTCTCTCCTGATAAAATTCAAAAATATGAAAGTGAATAGTAGCTCTGATCAGAAATATAAGCCTTTCTATTCTTTTACAGTGAATAAGGAAATGAAGGATTTAGGAGACATCGCCCTTGAGGACGCAGGGTATTCTCAGAACTTTACGCGCCTCTTCTTGGGTCTTTTACAGCACGACAGGTACCTAGTTATATATTTGTTTCTTTCTAGAATCTGTAGTCTAGTAAAATGTATTCGCGCCACAAATTGAACTATACATCCATGTAAATGTTAGGGAATCTGTTCACGAAACCATTGTTCAATAAAAGTCGTAAGTTGCATTTTAACGACCGTAAAATTGTCCCTAAAATTGACATTTTTCGGCCAAAGAAAATGTGTGGTTTTGTTTACATCAGTTAATTAAGTAAAATTGATTTAAAGGATTACCACCCTATTTATCATTCTTGACATGTAGTTAACAATTTTTACTTTTCCATCAACATAGGCTCTAGTTCAAAAGAGACATGTTATGGAGTAATATATAGAAATTGAATGTTTTTAATATTAATATAAAATGTAAATACACATCGTTAAACAAAACACATTTAAAAAATAATAATTTTTGTAATTGCGAATACTCTTTGCTATGAAGGAACCTGTTTCATCATGATTTCTTAATGATGATTTTCTGAAAAGTTACTTCACCTAATCTGTTTAAAATAAAATAATAGGAGTTTAGCATAATGTAGGTCATTTGCAAAACTATCTTGGCTCGTTGATACACCAAGGTTTAATTTCAAGAGCACAGAAATCTGTTAGTAGTATAATCATTTTTTTCTTCCTCCTTTCAATATATTTGCCTGTGTGTATTTAGGAATACTTTTATGTGTGTGCTTCTCAGTATTTATTGAAGATCTTTTGTTATTATTGTACGTTCAATTATGACCAAGACTGTCGCAAAAATGCTCGTTTCGAGTCATATTATCAAGTTGTTTCGAGTGAAATTATTTTGCTATTTAATTCCCTTTCTTTCCGACAACTACAATTTTCCGAGACACGCCGTTGTTCGTCATTATCGATGTGAATTCACTTGAACTTACGGCTCTAGGAAGAGCATCCGCGGAATCTCCAGAGCTTCGCTGCGCAGTGGAGTTTCGTCTTGTTAAATATCGCTTGAACACTCGAAGCTCTTCGCAGATTGTTCGGTGATTCTGTGAGGTCCCGCGATACGTCTTTCCTTTTGCGTAAAGCTGTTTATGGACATCGTGGAGCAAAAGTTAGAGTAACAGTAAATGAGAATAAAATGGGTTCTCTGAGACGGATGATGTAAAAAACAGATAAAGTACGCGACTCCATTTGTAACACAGAAAGGGAACAGTTGTAACATAAATACATGTACTTACTTACTGATCTCACTGTGACAGCTGACGAAATAACGGTTGTGTTTTCTTGTATTGACAAGACTTGTATGGCTTTACTTCATCTTTAGGTGTTATCTTCGGTGCTTGGATAGTCGACGACAATGCGCGAGCAGAAGTCTGATTGCGGGTTAAAATAATTTCTTGTCCGCAATGAAATGGAGAACGCAGCTGGTAATGCGCAGAGGATAATGGGGCCTAACAGTGCAGGTATAGCGCTAAAAAATATCGAAAAGTTTGAAGACATTTACCAACGAAACTTAATCGACGATTGCATGGGTAATGTCTTAAAGTGGTTGTACCACATATATTGTGTTTTTTTCACGTGTTAGTTTTGCATTATAATATGAGATTTTTTTGCAGAACAACGATATTGGAAGAACAAACGCCTACGAAGTCGCCAAAGAAGCTCTTCTATCTCTTGGCATTTTCAGTGCTATCGACGAAGCGGGTAAATTAAACGAAACAATACTGAACTACGTAGATTTTCTGGTCCTTAATAATGAAGTAAGTTCCATATTCTAAAGGTAAAGATCGTAGTCAGTAGTTTTAAAGTACCTTTCTCTGTTTTGAAATATTTCCTTACTACATTGTTTCTATATGAATTATACAGTTAATTAATTTTTATTCATGATAGATTATTATTTTAGCACAACATAGTTGGGGTTACTAAAAATGGTTACTATTAATTTCTTGTCAAATAAAGGGAAGTTAAGTTAGAAATACGATGAAATATTGCAATAAACGCAGCACGCGACGCTTTTGTTGAAGGTTCTGGGTGAGAAGGCCGCGCGGCGAGTGGAACTCCTGAACAGAGACCCTGAGCTGAAAACAGTTGCGGAAGTGAACGAAATGTTTGTGGAAGGTGTCACGGTGAGTTCGTCCCGAAACATTAATGCCACGTCATGTCAGTGAAGTTTATACCGTTTTTACCCACAAATATACCTACTAGTGTTTTGGGCAAACATGCTAAGGAAAAAATATGCAACCAATTTTCTCAAACAGCATAAAAAAATAGAATAATAGATAAAAGTAAATAAAATACTCAAATTACTCATTCATTCAAATTAGTCATTTTCGAAAGTCCAATTCAAATTACTAGCATTTTAATATAAGATGTTATCGAAAAATTAATAATAACAATAACAAAATACATATTTATTGTACTATATTTCAACGCATTATAGGTGGATATGTCAGCCATAATTGAAAAGCTTATCGGGCGGCCACTGAACGAGGATGAAAGAGTGCAAGTCTATTCCGCCGGATACTTTAAGACACTAAACGACAAATATAAACTGCGGTAAGTGAAAATAAAATAATTATTTTTCAGCAGGTTTAAGAAGGTTCTCAATTGTACAGGTGCTTTAGAATCTCGCTACCACGTGTGGACGATAAAAGTTTATCTAATATCGTGTGTGGTGCCGGGTGTTAGTGAAGCACCCGGCAATGCATGAGTATTTATCACCGACATGTATTAGAGAGGAAAGGCAATGAATTACATTTATGGGTTCAAATGGAAATTATTATATACACATTCCCGCCCTCTCTTCCACCCCATCCTACCATGTCACTTCTTGGTCGACTACACCTCGGTCTGCCAGGCACTGACTTACACATTTACTCCTTTTACATGAACATGGTTTTTATGTCTTGTAGTTCTTATTTGAATACGGAGATGAAAATAGATGTTGAACATTCCAATTAAGATATACTATTCCAATATTTCGAAATAGTATATGCAGGTTTTCAACGCTTGCGTGTCCAACATGTTAACAGTACATTTAGAAGTATTATGGGTATAGAAAATTCAGGATATTTAAATTAATAATATTGAGCTTCCTGGGGGATTTTTGTAAAATTTTTTGTTTTGTGCTTTGAAAACTATAATAAAAGTAAAATTTAAACATACAAGTATTACAGATGGTCGACTTGGTTTATTTTCGGGGCATAGAAAGTTATATGAAAAAGTATCGTTTAAATAATTGTTTCAAACGTTTGTTTTTTTATAAAATAATGAAGCTATACGTGAATCGTATGAATAACTCGTAACAATTCATGTAAATGGAAAGAGTAGTGTAATTTACAGTGTTTCAACCAATGTACTAGCATAGGTATATGAAGCAATGCAAAAACAGGTATTTTTTCTAATTCATTCGAATATGCAGAGGGAAAGGTTCCAAATTGTGGCCATGTTTCTTTTGGTCGAGAGGAATCAAATGAGCTATTTAATCACCGCAGAAGGTGCTGTAAGGCATCCGAAAAATTTTTCATTTAATGAATAAAAAACAAATAAATACAAAAACACGTTTTTTAGAGAAATTTCGTAGAATTTCTGGATATGGTAAAATAAAATATAAATTCCTCTCGAGGAAGACAGAGACGCAATGGAAAGCCACTTCATTTGTCTCCACTTGTGCGGAAAGAGACTACGCCTGCCGTGACAGACGGACGCCAAGGTTCTGGACTACAAACAAGATTAACGTAACCGTTAATTAACACCCCCTGTTTAGGTGGTGTTCAGGTGCATAAACTGAGTCACTGCAGTGCCGTGACAGGGAGGGCCTAGAGGTCGAGTGCCGACGGTGACGAGGGTTTTCCAGCCACCCAGCTACACAGCTAGGTCGAATTCAGACGGAGGGAGGATTTAGCTGCTGGTGCTACGATCAGTAGTTTTTCCGTAGTTTCTCAGATCAACCCGACGAGTGCCGGAGCAGTGCTTTAACAAATAGGCACGGGCCGGGCGGGGGGAAATCTTTCTTCCTCTTCTTGTCACTTACATACATACACTACCACACGTGTCAAAGACGCAGTCGGAAGCTTGGGGCTTTGTCCGGGTTTGGAGGCGGTTTCCCGCAAGTGGGAAGATACTGGTCGGGGGAAATTTAGCCATTTCAAGTGTAAGGGTCAGATGAGTGAACAAGAACGCAACTGGGCGGCGTGTGTGTGTGTGTGTGTGTGCGTGCGCAGGCCGCGCGACCTGCACAAAGCGCGCTGCTGGTGGCGGTTCGCGGCGGCGCGCTACCGCGACCCTGGTGGGAGCAGCGCTGGCGGCCGCGCGGTTCTCGCATGCACTGCACGCGCCTGGGCGCCGCTGCTGGCCCGACGCCGCGCCGCTCTACTGCACATCCTTGCTCGACGCGCGGCGCGCAGCTGCGAGGCCCAGGCCGGCAACTTCCTCTTCGAGGTCACCAACAATTCTGCGGGAGCTGGACACGCCCCCTGGCTCAGAGGGGCCGCGGAGGCGCTCAGGAAGACCTCGAGTAGCAAGATGGAGAGCATTAAGATCGCCAACATCACCGACCACACACGCGACGTGATGGATACTCTTAAACTGGACGCAGCTCTCAACGACGTGAGTCGAGATGGTTCTATTCATGAGTTATCCCTAATACCACGAATCGACTCCCACATTGCGAGATCGGTGCACGAAAGCGAAGAACGAGTGTCAGGAACGAATCCATTCTGGTTCCTAGTTCAAATGACAATGGCGCGTTTCAATTAATTAAAAATGTAAATTGGCATATAATACGTTGGAATTATTTGTTGGACATTCTAAAGGACGCTATTAATAACAAAATCTGAAGCACAGAGACCAATTTCAACACGCGCAGCGAAGCGTCAAGTTTCAAGTTAAAACTGTTCGGCAAACATTAACTTGGAAATGCAATGCATTGAAAAGTGTGCTGTAGATCGAGTCAAGAATGTTTTATGTGAATCGGGTAGACGGAATACCGAGGCCTCGTCACCAACTCGCAAAGGCGTAGCGAAACGTCACCAAGCCTTAAAAGCTTGAAGTTATAAATAAAATGCAGTTCCGCCTGCGGGCCCGCCCTGTCGTTCGGCTGTTTGCAAACGTTAACACATTCCCTGTCGTTCGTTACGATAAGGGAGACAAGCCTTTATTATTCCTTACATTTACGTCATTTTAAAAGGTTCGATAATTGCTCTATCACAGCCCCAAAGTTCTCGTTGATGTCGCGGAGCATTTCTTCTCGAAGTTACTAAAACCCCGTTTATTTTAATCTTCGTTGATCTAATTGTGAAGCAATTTTTTTGGAAAACTTGTCAATTACGTGTACAGTGAAAGCGGCACACTTAAAGAAACTTTCTGAATCCGAATGTTACACGAAACGAATAGATGTATTAACCGACTGCAATACGAATGCTGCGTACAATCAATGTTTAGATCTTCTCCAGCTATCAGAAATTGACTGTCCAACTCCTGAAATTACCTAAAACACTACGATTTGGGAAATGCTCAGCAAGGAGTTCAGTAGACGTCATGGGTTTCATAAAAAATACCTTCCCCTCGTTGACAGTTTCGTTCTTGTTACTCGTTTTCTCAAGGTGAAATTTCCACTCATAAGTGACTGCGTGCTTAATGAGTAACTTACTCGGCCGGTCAACAGTTGAACGCATTTGCATTAATGTAATTCTTGATACCGTTTAAGAAAGACAGTTAACTCATCTTCAAATGACAGTAGAAGCAATTGACTAAGGGCCTGATATCTTAATAATACACTATTAGGAGACCATTGTGAAGGTTGGCCCCTGAAGCGCTTGATAACCCTGGTGGAGTAAGATCTTACCCTTGAGACTTAATGAATACCTGCTCTTTCCCTGTAAAATGAAGGAAAAAGCGCGATCATTTAACTTACATTTTCCTTTTGTTGTATGAGCAGGCGAAATATACTTTTTTTAAAAACATTTACTTTTTTAAATGAAACCATACATTCTAGAGTAAAATGAAAGATAATGGCTTTTTATATCGTAACACTACGAAGCGTGTACAAAAGGTTGCCTTTTGTGGGATGAAGGTAACCGTTCCATCCACTCGGGTTTGACTTTCTGAGTTATTAACTGACTTTCTAAGTTACACATTCTGAATTATTACTTTATCATTATTTGAATTCTGTGTTTCATTAATTATTAATTATACCCACGTTAATGAAAGATTTGTTTCACTAAAGTAATTTAAATAATTATTAGTCTGAATATGTTGTCTACAAAAATTTTATTTTTTTAGTATCCAATTGATGGAGAAGGATTCGTCAAAAACGCCATTATGTTGATGGTTCGAAATAGAAAACGTTTGTATAAAAGAATTGACGAAGAACCTATTAAGAACATGTAAGTAACATTTGGTTTTTTGATGAACTTCAATCGCTCTCTGAAATTGCCCACTCGCTGTAAAATATTAATTCACTCTGAATATGCAGATGGACTCACTTCATTGCCCCCTACGACACCACAGGAATAACTC